CAACTCCCATATTTATTTAATAAAAATGATTACAAAATTATCTTACGATCTATATTTACAACTCTTCATTATATATTAATAACGTTCTGCTATCATATAACAAATCTCTTGCTCATAACTTTAATAATTTTAGACCTTTAATTTAAACAATTATTTCCATGGGCCACCCACAAAACCCTTTTATGTTACAATATTTATTTAATTACTCTAATTTATACAAAAAGAAATTATTATTTAAAATATTTTAATAAGTGAATAGCATTGAAAATTCCTCTAATTTCGTTTGTCTCTGGATTTGCCAAGGTATATACATTGTCAAATGGTACGGCTGCTATTACATAAGGTCCTTCATATGCCAAATTGAACTTACTCATAACTTTATTATCAGCGTCTGATCTACTAGATCTTGAAATTTTTACTAAGTCACCAATATTATATTTTATTAATCTATTTCGGTTATTAAATTTTGTGTTTCTTATTCGACTTGCCTCTTTTAAATTTTTACGCACTTGTTGTCTAATTTGTTTGACATTATGTTTGTCTTTACTTTTGGAAATTACTTTGTCAAAAGACATCTCATTAGACTCACCATAAAGAATCTCACAAGGCGTGAAGCCTGTACTATTGTGATAAGAATTATTATACAATTCTTCTAATTTCGGCAATATTAACGCCCAATCTTTGTGGTTAGTATGACAAAGCGTCCTAAATAATCTGCTCAACTCTTTATTTACTCGCTCTGTTGTATTTGGTCTAGGATTTCTAACTGTGGTATATATTGGCTTTATATTTAATTCACTCATTGATTGTTTCCAGTGATTACTTACGAACTTATTCTATTCTATTCTATTCTATTCAACAAAATGGCTGTTTTAAAGGATATAATTTCATAAATTTACTGAATGAATCTTGAATGACAAATATGAAAGTGTACCCAAAGGTACCTGATACAAGTGGTCCATATAAGTCTGCCATGACTATATCGCCAATGTTTTCTGTTATTATAGATTTGCAGGGACCCACATATGTTATATTGCTTTTTTTATTTTTATAGGAGAGGGGCCAAACGAGCATGCGGCCCACCTGATGGTAAGTGACTACCGCCGCCCATGAACAACCGCAACACCAGGGGAATTGCAGATGCGTTGCCGGCCTTTTAAAAAGGAGTAGGCTCTTTTCTTGAAGGTCCCTAAGTCGTATCGGTCCGGAAAAATCACTGATGGTAATCGATTCCACAAGGAAGTCATGCGAGGAAGAAAACATCTTCTAAATCACACAGTGGTGGACCGCCAATCATCCAGATGATGTGGATGGTATCGGGAGTTCTGCCGCGATGTGCGTTCATGAAATTTGGCGGCTGGGATTAATCCGAACAATTCCTCAGAGCACTCCCCATGGTAGATGCGAAAGAAAATGCAAAGAGATGCAACATCTCTTCGCAGTGCCAATGAATCGAGCCGATCGGAAAGGTCTCGGTCGTCGACGATTCGAGCCGCTCCACGCTGGATGCGGTCAAGTGGAAGGAGCTGGCACTGGGGAGCCCCTGCCCAGAGATGGGAACAGTATTCCATGTGAGGCCGAACCTGCGCCTTGTAAAGTTGCAGGCGGTGTGCCGGCATGAAATACTGTCCCGCTCTGCTGAGCACGCCAAGCTTTTTAGAGGCCAATTTGGCCTTCTCTTCCAAGTGACCACGAAACTGCACGTCACTCGATATGTCGACTCCGAGGATACCGATACTGGCTGAGGCAAGAAGGGGAGTGCCTTGAAAATGAGGAGATACGACAAAGGGGTTCTTTTTAGCGGTAAACGCGCAAACTTGTGTCTTCTGAGGATTAAACTGGACTAGATTTAGTCGCCCCCAATCCGAGACTTTGTCCAGCAAAGACTCGACTTCAGACACAAGTTTGTTCCGGTACTCGGCGACGTTTTCCCGAGAAATATTGGCCCGGCCGGTGTATAGAGCATCACCAGTGCTGTCATCCGCATAGCAATGAATGTTACCAGTTAGCAACATATCATTGATATGCAGAAGAAACAGCGTTGGTGATAGCACACAGCCTTGTGGAACACCAGCGTTAATAGGCTTGTAGTCAGAACATGCACCGTCTACAACGACCTTGATGCTCCGATCTGCAAGAAAGCTGGTGATCCAATTGCACAATTTCTCGGGAAGCCCATAGGAAGGCAGCTTCGAATGAAGCGCTTTGTGCCAAACCCGATCAAAGGCCTTCGCAATGTCCAGACTAACGGCCAACGCCTCCCCCTTGGACTCTACTGCCTCCGCCCATCTATGGGTCAGGTAGACCAGAAGATCACCAGCTGATCGACACCGACGAAAACCATATTGGCGGTCACTAATCAGCTGGTGATCCTCAAGGTACCGGATGAGCTGGCAGTTAATAATGGATTCCATTATTTTGGAGAACAAGGAGGTGATCGCGATAGGCCTATAGTTGGTCGGGTCTGAGCGGTCGCCTTTTTTAGGGATCGGGTGGACAAAAGCTGTCTTCCATGAATTCGGGACTACGCCTTGGGAATAGGAGTACCGGAAAAGACGCGTTAGGACCGGTGCCAACTCCGGAGCACACGTCCTCAGCACAATTGGGGGGATTCCGTCAGGCCCACTCGACTTCTGGATGTCCAGGGAGAGAAGTGCTTTGCGAACTGAGCGCTGTGAGAATAGCACATCCGGCATGGAGCACTCACACCGCGGGATGGTCGGCGGTATTTTCCCCCCGTCATCAAGAGTCGAGTTGGACGCAAAAAGGGAGCCTAAAAGGTCGGCTTTGTCTTTTGCGTCTTGGGCCAGTGAGTCGTCCTCCCTGTGCAGAGATGGTAGTGATGGCTTACAGAAATGATACAGCTTACAGATGGCTTTTCTTAGATAACTGACATAAATGACAAGCCCTTAATTGGTTTTTAATATCTTTTGTTAAGCCTTTCCAAAAGAATCTGTCTCTCACATATTTAATTACCTTATAGGGTCCTTGATGACCCATTTCGATATGCACTTGATTTATAATATTAGGTCAGGTTAGGTTAGGTTATGTTAGTTTAGGTTCCCCCCCGAACGGGTTCCCGCCTTGTCGTGGCGGGGGGGCTTAGTAGCCGTGGCTTGGTCACCCGCGGTGAACTAAGAGGAACCCCTGGGTTGGCCCGTGGTGTAGGGCTGGCCCGAGGTGGCCGCTCCGAGTGGGCTTGGGAAGCCCACTTTGGATGTGTGTCGGTGGGCTGCGGTGAGAGGGGTGTCCGCTCCCTCTACCGCTGCAGCCGAGGTGGAGTCGCGGAGGAAGAGGAGTGTTGGTATGGCGATGCGCCACTCGCCCTATCCTCCGCGACTCAGACGGGGCCGCACCGTTGGATGATGCGGTGGTGGTGTGGCTGCGGGGGGAGAGGAGTGTCGGTATTGCGAGGCGCCGCTCTCCCTACCCTCCGCAGCCGAATCTTGGTTGGCGGCGGAGCCATGGACCAGATCCGTCGCTGGGGTTGGGAAGGCTGGTGCTTCTGAGTGCTAGTTTTTCCTGGCCCCATGGCCTCCGCGTATCGGACTCGGGGGGGTCCGATACGCAGGTGGAATTGGAGGCTGTGGAGGGGGGTAGCTGAACACCTTGCTACCCCGTGCAGGAGACGAGGCCCGGACAGACCGGGCCAGCACTAGTGTGGGGCTGTGGAAGAATTTGGATTCCCGCGGCCCCGCGCGCACGTGCGAGGAGGCATCGTGGGGTTTTAGCCGGTAGGAGTCCGGCATAACCTTCCGGTTGCCCCCGCAGCCGGAGGTATCCATGAGGATTTCCCCACGAAAAAAAAAAAAAGGTTAGGTTAGGTTAGGTTCTCCCCCGAACGGGTTCCCGCCTTGTCGTGGCGGGGGGGCTTAGTAGCCGTGGCTTGGTCACCCACGGTGAACAAAGAGGAACCCCTTGGCTGGCCCGTGGTGTAGGGCCGGCCCGAGGTGGCCACTCCGAGTGGGCTTGGCGAGCCCACTTCGGATGTGTGTCGGGGGGCTGCGGTGTGAGGGGAGTTCGCACCCTCTACCGCTGCAGCCGAGGTGGAGTCGCGGAGGAAGAGGAGTGTTGGTATGGCGATGCGCCACTCGCCCTATCCTCCGCGACTCTGACGGGGCCGCACCGTTAAATGATGCGGTGGTGGAGGGGCTGCGGGGGGAGAGGAGTGTCGGTATTGCGAGGCGCCGCTCTCCCTACCCTCCGCAGCCGAATCTTGGTTGGCGGCGGAGCCATAGACCAGATCCGCCGCTGGGGCCGGGAAGGCCGGTGCTTCTGAGTGCTAGTTTTTCCTGGCCCCATGGCCTTCGCGCATCGGACTCGGGGGCGTCTGTTGCGCATTGGAAATTGGAGGCCGACGAGGAGGGCGCGCCATGTGTTCTGGTGCGCCTTACCTGAGAAGGAGAGGGGGGAGGAGTGGTCCTCTCCCGAGAAGGGGCCGCCATGGAGTGGCCAGCGCAGGTGGGGCCGCGGAAGTGTGCGAAAGCGTTCCCGTGGCCCTGCCAATATGCGACGAAGGTGGAACACTATGGGGTTTTAGTCGGTGCGAGTCCGACATAACCCGTCCTTGCCCCCGCGAGGCGGGTATGCGTAGGCATTTCCCCATGTAAAAAAAAAGGTTAGAATAGGTTTTTTTTTTTTAGTCGGTGCGAGTCCGACATAACCCGTCCTTGCCCCCGCGAGGCGGGTATGCGTAGGCATTTCCCCATGTAAAAAAAAAAAGGTTAGAATAGGTTAGGTTAGGTTAGGGGGACGCGCTGTATGAGGTGTACCGCGCGTCTAAGGAGACTCTGTGGCTGGCCATCGGCGACTCAAAGTCGCGTGCCAGGGAGGAGCTGCTGGGGTCCCTAGATCGGGATCCGTGGGGGCGCCCCTACCGTTGGATACGGGGCAAGTTGCGTCCCTGGGCGCCTCCACTAACACAAACGATGCAACCCCAGTTGCTAGAGTCGGTGTTATCGACTCTCTTCCCTGAGCGAGTGGGACACGTTCCCCCGGCGATGGCTTCGCCCTCAGCCACAGACTCTCCAGAAGAGGAGAGCACCGATGTCCCCGAGGTGACGCAAGCAGAGACGAGAGTGGCCGTGTCGCGACTCCGGGCTAAGAACACAGCGCCCGGACCCGACGGAGTTCCTGGTCGAGCTCTCGTCCTGGCTCTGAAGGAGCTAGAGCCCCAGCTGAGAGGGCTCTTCACGTCATGTCTCGAGCAGGGTCAGTTTCCCAGTGTGTGGAAGGAGGGGAGGCTGGTCTTGCTCAGGAAGGAGGGGCGCCCCGCGGACTCACCGTCCGCGTACCGGCCCATAGTGCTGCTCGACGAGGCGGGCAAACTTTTTGAGCGCATCATCGCAGATCGCCTCGTCAGCCACTTGTGCAGAGAGGGGCCGGACCTGGATGACAACCAGTTTGGTTTTCGTCGCGGGCGCTCCACCATAGACGCTATTACGCGCGTGAGGGCCCTGACGGAGGAGACAGTATCCCGGGGTGGGGTGGTGCTGGCGGTGTCCTTAGACATCTCCAACGCTTTCAACACCCTACCCTGAAGTTGCATTCGGGAGGCGCTGAATTACCATCGCGTGCCTCCCTACCTCCGCCGCACAATAGGGGCTTACCTTGAGGAGAGATGCGTTACCTATTGGGGACGTGACGGCGCTGGTCGGCGCGTCATGTCGTGCGGTGTTCCGCAGGGATCGGTCTTGGGACCGCTCCTGTGGAACATCGGCTACGACTGGGTGCTGAGAGGTGAACTCCCGTCGGGCGCCGACTTGACGTGTTATGCGGACGACACGCTCGTCACTGCCCGGGGGAGTTCGTACAGGGAAGCAGCGTTGGTTGCAACGGCTGCGGTGTCACAAGTGGTGAACCGCATCCGGCGCCTGGGCCTGGAGGTGGCCCTAAGTAAGTCGGAGGCCATGGTGTTCCATGGCCCTCGACGCGCGCCGCCGCCGGGTTCACACATCGTGGTCAGCGGGGCCCGGATAGCTGTCGAGTCCACCATGAAGTATCTGGGATTGGTGCTCGACAGCCGATGGGAATTCGGACCCCACTTCCGGCGGCTGGCGCCCAAGCTGATGGGTGCAGCGGGCGCGCTATCAACGTTGCTTCCCAACTTGGAGGGCCCGAGCGCCGCCTGTAGGCGGTTGTACGTGGGAATCGTGCGGTCCATGGCCCTGTATGGGGCCCCTGTCTGGGCGATGGACATGACGGCCAGCACTCTCGCCATTCTGCGTAAACCGCAGAGGGCGATGGCCGTCAGAGTCGTCCGCGGGTATCGCACGATTTCCTACGAGGCGGCTTGCGTCCTGGCCGGATCCCCGCCCTGGGACCTAGAGGCGAAAGTACTCGCGTCATTATTTCGATGGCGCGAGGAAGAGCGGGCACGGGGCTCGAGGCCGGTGCAGCGGCAGATCGCGCTGCGCCGAGAGGAGCTCCGTCAGGTCTTGGTGGCGGAATGGCGGCAAAGGCTTCTGTGCCCTACCGCCGGCCTCGCCACCGTCGAGGCGATCCGGCCAGTACTCGACGACTGGCTCGGGAGAAGGCACGGCTCCCTGTCGTTTAGGGTGACGCAAGTGCTGTCGGGGCATGGCTGCTTCAGTAAGTACCTGCGCCGCATAGACAGGGAGCCGGACGCTCGGTGCCACCACTGCGTCCATTGCGGGGAAGACACGGCGCAACACACGCTCGCCGAGTGTGTAGCTTGGGAGGAGCAGCGCCGTGTCCTCACAAATAAAGTAGGAGGCGATCTGTCGCTGCCGGCCTTAGTGCGGAAGATGGTCGGTAGCGCAGAGTCGTGGGATGCAGTGGTGTCCTTCTGCGAGGACGTGATGTCGCAGAAGGAAACTGCGGAACGGGAAAGGGAGATCTCGACTCCCTTCCCTGGCCGCAGAAGGCGCACCGGGCGCAGGAGAAGGGCGGACAACGCCCTTTTCCGGCCCCCATAAATGGGTATTTATGGGGGTCGGAAAAGGTCCAGGGGCGAGGGACTTGGGGAAGCCCCCCGCCACCCCTACTCGATGGACCCGAGGCGGATGCGCGCGCGGGTGTCGGCGCGCGCCCCTGAGGCGATACACGGGGTAGTTGATTGAACACCTCGCTACCCCGTACAGGAGACGAGGCCCGGACAGACCGGGCCAGCACTAGTGTGGGGCTGCGGAAGAATTTGGATTCCCGCGGCCCCGCGCGCACGTGCGAGGAGGCACCGTGGGGTTTTAGCCGGTAGGAGTCCGGCATAACCTTCCCCACGAAACGATTTCCCCACGAAAAAAAAAAAGGTTAGGTTAGGTTAGGTTAGGTTAGGTTTTTTTTTGTCTCCAGTCTCGGTTACACCACCGGGACTGGGTGTTTACTGGGGGCAAATCAATTATAAAAGTAGGTTCAAATTGATCTACTTTTATAATTGATTTGCCCCCGCTATTGGATACGGGCGACACAAAAGTTACATTTTATTACTACATTTTTTACAATATGTTATTATTTATGAAATAGTACATTTATACAAAACTTAGAAGTAGGATTATTCGGTACACGAATTAGAGTCTTAGTTACAGAAATTTCAACTTTGCTTTGATTTTCAGTTCAGATACGGGCGACACAAAAGTTACATTTTATTACTACATTTTTTACAATATGTTATTATTTATGAAATAGTACATTTATACAAAACTTAGAAGTAGGATTATTCGGTACACGAATTAGAGTCTTAGTTACAGAAATTTCAACTTTGCTTTGATTTTCAGTTCAGATACGGGCGACACAAAAGTTACATTTTATTACTACATTTTTTACAATATGTTATTATTTATGAAATAGTACATTTATACAAAACTTAGAAGTAGGATTATTCGGTACACGAATTAGAGTTTTAGTTACAGAAATTTCAACTTTGCTTTGATTTTCAGAGTATCTATATTACATGTTTGTTAAAGTCCTTAAGGGTTCTAATAATAGTTTTAATATGTTCGGTGTATGATATGACTGAAGATTCCTTGCTTATTATTTTATTTATGCTGAAGACGTCTGTTATATTCAAGCTGCTGCAGGTAATTATGTGATCGTTCCGAGTGTTTGAGTACCTAGGACATTCTTCTATTAAGTGCTTGAATGTTTGTTCCGAGTTGTCGTTACATGGGCATTTATTAGTTGATTTTATTTTAAATCTGTACAGGTACGATAGATTAAATCCATGTCCAGTCAAAAATTGCGTAAATTCAAAGGAGGGTTTAACAGCTTCCCATAGATTTTGTATGGACTCAAGATCAGGACATATACTTTTTGTATGTTGTCCTTGTATGGAGTTTTTGTAAAAAGAATCAGCATTGCTTAAAGTTATTTGTTTTAAATTATATTTTAAGTAGCTTAAAGGGGTCTTGTCATGTTCATATCTACTGTGGGAACTGGCTGCTTGTTTGGCTGCTACATCTGCTTCTTCGTTCCCGGTCAAGCCTGTGTGTGCTTTAACCCAAGTAAAGTTAATTATTCCTGTGTTATATATTTGGTGTATACTTTTATGTATAGACACTACGAATGGGTTGGTACTGTCTTTATTTTGTATTTCTTTCAAGCCTGAAAGTGAGTCTGTAAGGATTGTAAGATTATGTGTACCTGTTTGAATAGCCCATTTGCAAACTCTTTCTATAGCCAAGAGTTCCGCTTGAAATACATTGCAGCTTGGGTGTAGTTTATATTTCTTGCGTATTTTTATTTCATTATTAATTTGTACTACAAATGCTGCGCCTGTACTACCATCATGATGCTTGCTTCCATCTGTGAATATTTTTGTCATATGGTTATTGCAATTATCAATATCTTCTTTTGTAGTTGCATATTAATGTCGATGGTTTTTCTGTCAGCTGGATGAAGAAGTTGTGATGAGGGCAATGGTTTCTCCATGGCAATGTCATAGGGTAGAAACTCTGTTTTTCCAGATAATTTGCTTTATTTAACTAGCCTTCTCCCGGTTAGGTTAGGTTAGGTTAGGTTCCCCCCCGAACGGGTTCCCGCCTTGTCGTGGCGGGGGGGCTTAGTAGCCGTGGCTTGGTCAACCGCGGTGAACAAAGAGGAACCCCTTGGCTGGCCCGAGGTGTAGGGCCGGCCCGAGGTGGCCACTCCGAGTGGGCTTGAGAAGCCCACTTCGGATGTGTGTTGGTGGGCTGCGGATAGAGGGGTGTCCGCTCCCTCTACCGCTGCAGCCGAGGTGGAGTCGCGGAGGAAGAGGAGTGCTGGTATGGCGATGCGCCACTCGCCCTATCCTCCGCGACTCAGAAGGGGCCGCACCGTTGATGCGGTGGTGGTGGGGCCGCGGGGGGAGAGGAGTGTCGGTATTGCGAGGCGCCGCTCTCCCTACCCTCCGCGGCCGAATCTTGGTTAGCGGCGGAACCCGAGACCAGATCCGCCGCTGGGGTCGGGAAAGCGGGCGCTACTAAGCGCTCGATTTTCCTTGCCCCATGGCCTCCGCGTATCGGACTCGGGGGGGGGTCCGATACGCAGGTATAGTTAGAGGCTGTGGAGGGGGGTAGCATAACACCTCGCTACCCCGTGCAGGAGACGAGGCCCGGACAGACCGGGCCAGCACTAGTGTGCGGCTGCGGAAGAATTTGGATTCCCGCGGCCCCGCGCGCACGTGCGAGGAGGCACCGTGGGGTTTTAGCCGGTAGGAGTTCGGCATAACCTTCCGGTTGCCCCCGCAGACGGAGGTATCCATGAGGATTTCCCCACGAAAAAAAAAAGGTTAGGTTAGGTTAGGTTAGATGCCGGTCTTCGATGCCTGGACGACTTCGATGCAGCGACGAGTAGGAAGACTCACCTACAGACTTACACAGATAATTACCGGGCATGGGTGCTTCGGTGATTATCTGTGTAAGATCGGACGCGAGGCGACGGCAAACTGCTTCCACTGTGGTGGACAGGACCAGGACTCCGCTTCTCATACGCTCGCAGTATGCCCAGCGTGGGAACGGGAGCAGACAATCCTGGTGAACCGCATTGGACGGGACCATGAAGCTAATACAAAGGGGAGACGGCATAAGCAACTGTGCACTGTGATTCTAAGTAGGTCCTGACGTCATCATAGTGGGCGTGGCTTTAGTTAGTATACTGTCAGCATTCGTCCTGTGCGCTCATGTGTTGAAAAAATCGCAAATCGATGTATTTTCGTAGTATTAAGAAGAAAAGGATGAAGTGTTGTGTTTTATTGTGTAAAAACTACTCAGATAGACGCTCTGAGCGTCGTAGCTATGTAACCCCTGAGGAGGACGATGACTCGGAAGTGGTCTCGAGACATCGTGATAGCACTGAGAGGGTGCTGGGGGCAGCAATTACTGTCCCCGGGACGTGCTATAGGTGTAGCAAAGCGACGGAGTGGCCCCGGTTGCGTTCCGAACGGAGATCCCCGGACCCCTCGTATACGCTGATGGTGACCACCGTGGGGTTTTAGCCGGTATGAGTCCGGCATAACCTTTTCGTTGCCCCCGTAGCGGAAGGTATCCATGAGGATTTCCCCACGTAAAAAAAAAAAAAGGTTAGGTTAGGTTCCCCCCCGAACGGG